TGCTTATAGACAATATTAAATCATGAGTTAATGCTTGTACAGGGATATATAAATGGAGGGAATCGATATAAGCCACACTTGTTAACAATACTTAAGTTATTATAGTAGAGTGCAACTTTGTCTAAGGCGCTAGATATTAATTTTATTATGATTATTGTACACTATATAATTAATTAAAAATTACTCCCAATCAATGTATATTGACATTTAATTTCTATTTTAATTTTTAAGGCACAAGCTTTCCGTTTATTATAGCTGATATTTGTGCCGTAAAGCTACTAAATATGTTAAACTATTTTATTTTTTTTAAATTTTGAAGATAAGATATGAAAGCAATAGGACGGCATCTTAATGCGCATCGCCGACTACGGAGCGTTCCCGTGCTACGTTCAAGTTTATCTTGTTTACGGGGTCTACGACGGGCGACGGCGAGTCTGTCCCATGAAATCCTGCGTTTTTAAAACCATTCCCAATTATATTATTAAATTTATGTAAGGATGTATCTTGTTCTATACATAAATTAGTAATAATATTGGAAAGCATACAAGAGTAAGATTGTTTGGAAAGATTGCGGATATGATATCTTTTGAGTGTACGTACGGCTACGAATGATATGGAAGACTTTGTGCTTATTAGATGAACCGAGAAAGTTTGTGATGGAAAACGCTCGCTGTATGGTTTTTCACTAGGTATTTTAACCGCAATTTTTTTAAAGACATTTTTTTCGGCAGGTAGTAACAGAATATGATAGATGGATTCGCAGCTGCCTTCAGCCGCTGTTAATACCTACTGCCCTAGCATTCATTTCTAGCAAGAGTATTCTGACCTCTCCCCTTACCTAACCTAATATATTTTCTTTGGTTTCTGTCCCGTTTTCGAGTCGTGGACATAATTCAAATTACTTTTATAGCGGTTATATCTTGTGTTTATTCTTGTAAATATATTATTTCCGAAGTTTCGAATATTTTAGTTTAAAACTGTAAAAGTACTTTTGATTCTGTTCTCAACTTGTCCCATTAATTCCTATTTTGAGTGCTGGTGGTAGGTGTTACCTCGTTTCCGCCAAGGTTTTATTTGATAGACATTTAATTCCTTTTTGACAGGGTGTTTAGTTGACTACAAAAATGAATGACTATTTTACTTTGTGTTTTGTTAAAACGCCTTGTTTTACGAATTCTGTTTTAATATTTTTAGGAAGGTATGAGCTTAATTTTTTGCCGAAATTACTGCGAACGTACTTATTTAAAAATATTACGTCACAGGATTATTAAGAATAATACGAGCCTACGTCCAGCTCAGGATGAACTGAGGATGATGAAGAGCAACTATTACTTACCTTTCCATCTGTAGTAACTTTATCTTTGTCTTTGAACTAAGGTAGTCCTCTTACTAATCCCAACCAATACTAGCTAGACCAGAAGTCGCCGTGTTGTTCAGAAGTAGTCTTGGCCTACAAAGGATAAGAAGCCCGGTGAATCCGTATCGAGCGATGCGAATGTGCCACAGCTCAAATCGCGCAGGCACGTTCATTTTTGTTACCAATAAGGTAAATACTGAAATTGAGTTTTTTATTGCTTAGGTGGGTGAATGAGCTTACAGCCCACCTGGTGTTAAGTGGTTACTGGAACCCGTAGACATCTACGACGTAAATAGACATCTGCGCCACCCACCTTGAGATATAAGCCTAAGGTATCTAGTATAGTTACAACGGCTGCCCCGCCCTTCAAACCGAAACGCATTACTGTTTCACGGCAGAAAGCACTGCATAAATCAGATGAAACGGGAAATATTAAATCACTATCTCAATTATAGGGAGGAGGGCAAGAACCAAAAAAGGGCTACAAAACGTGCCAGTAACGGTAAACAGTATTATTTTCGTTTTTATCTTAAACACGAATTACCTAAACAAACTTTACTCTGTTGTTAACACTTAATATTATGATAGCGGTCACATTAAGGTAATGTTTATTTTCATCGCGACGCTTATCTAGTCTTCTCAAACGGTGCTAAAATTGTTGGCTGCAGTTAACCCTAGCGCGGTTGTGGGGCCGTCGACCGAGGGGGCCCGGGGACGCTCCGCAATAGATAAAACAGTGATAGAACATGCACCGCGCCGCTTCTATGAATAATTCATTAGTTTCAGTTGCCACTTTTGTTGATATCGGTGGATTTTCAGCGCTTCGCACCGTCAAAAATATGCATTGAGGGTCTGGTTATTGTTAGGCTGGCAATCTTTACATTGTCGTTTATTACAGAATAGCATCGATCGCGATACTGCTTAAAGATACCTATGGAGATATGTCAAGGGAGCTTTATATACTTATAATTTAATAAAGTATAATTTTGTAAAACCTATTTTAAATTTATATTTATCGTTATAAATAAAATTAAGGAAATTTCTAATAATTACGCTTCATTTTTATATAAATACACAAAACTATTGCTAGAATAAATATATAGGTTGATTGAATTTTGATGTTAAATCAAGGTAATGCGCGGGGGAATTTAATAAGTGGCTAATTATTGGAAGGCTTTAATATCTGTTTAAACATTTACACCGCACATCTCCCGGAAGTGTCTCCCGCTGTCTCCCCGGAATCTCGTTATAATTTACGATCATCCCGCAAAAATCCGGGATTATTTTTATTCGATAACAATAAACGCGTCGTAGAGGGTTACCTTTATTATCACTCAGTGTGAAACGTCTTTTTTACGACTAAACATGTAATTTCGACACTAAATTCGGCTGACCCTTCATGTTAACGTTTAAAAGCCTCTATAAGAGCTTTTGATATTTATTTATAGTGTTATATAATATTTTTATGTGAGTAATTTCGGTAAATAAAAGTACGTGCTAGAAGTGTGTGCTGTTGATTGAATTTCAAAGTACGTATTTTAGAATGAAACTATTTTCTGCTAAAATGTTATTATATCTCAGGTGCAAAATCTCTTAACTATTTTTTTTTTAAATCTGTAATTAATTGTCAGATGTACTTATACCATAACTTATAAAATAAAAACAAAGCAATAAGAAAATGTATAGTAATTACAGACCATAAAGACAAATATAGAACTAATTAATATCTCTGAAACCATTGTTATAAGTGCTCGATACTTTGATCTATATTTTAATACAATGATATGTTTTGGTAAAATAAAGTATGTTAATTAAATTTATGTTCTTTTTTATATAGTTATATAATTATTTTAATTAAAATCCGCAACTAAAATTAGAGTAATTCTCCGTTTAAGAATTAATATTTTTTTAGAATGCTAATTCCTGGGTAATTCAATACAATTATGAAGTTTAAAAAAAACGAACAGTCTTACGCTAAGAGAGCTAATAACAAAACCGGACCTAACACTAAAGATAACGTCGTTAGGTTGACGCACCTAAAATATATCAGCAATCGAGTTTCGCGCCTGAATATTCTGAAGAATTGAATTTACATACTCAATCAAGTTCGGCAGGCGGGCGACCGGCGAGCACGTCCGAACCGGAGCCCGGGTGCGGATTAGATGAGACCGAAAGTGATCCGTTATAATTTTGAGGGTAGACAGTGACGGCTGGTACGCACAGATTAGCCCCTTCGATAAACAATAGCATTAGTATGCGAGGACGCGCTGACCGACGCCGATCACAGCAGCCGTGCTCGGATTAATTTGGCTCCTGTAAATTATAAAGGCCACCGTGTGGACCGTCCTCTTACCTAATATAGTATCTAATAGCGGAAATATTTTTAAAGTTTCGGTAAACATATTTGCACGAGCTAAACAATAAAGAAGCCGTTTTAAGCTATTAGAAGTTATAGTAGTTAAGTAAAATTATAAAGAAGTCGTCGTGGCCTAACGGATAAGAATAAAATAAATTGCCGTTTTCACAAACACATATAATTTAATAATGGAAAACACTGATTAAAATCTCATTAGATTGAATTTTCTGAATTTTTATCAAATTTTTGGTTTCGGTTATTCTTAAGCGTTTCTTTTATCATTTCGAAACATATAAATATTATATGGAGTATTAAAAAATGTGTACCGTGCTTAAAAAAGCATGCTAACTCTAAAGAACAATAAACGAAAGTGAACTTCTCAATTTGGGGCGCTTGAAGTAAAGGGCAATAAGCGTTAATTTTATTAGTTCGTTCTACGATATCTGGTTTCCTCGGAAGCACACGCCCACCTCGTCGCCGCTAAGTAATGAAGCTACTGTTACAAACATTGAACTTCCGATAAAAGGAAACAACTAAATGCGCTTCAACATTAGTTCGTTAAATCTAGGCAATACAGTTCATTATCGTTTAATAAAAAAATTACAGATAATAATTTAGATTTTTGTGACAGGAACAAACTAATAGAAAATTATGTGCTTGGTTAAGAATTGAATACACTTGATTACAGATATTACTACTACTACAGTAATCCTAACTGATTCTGATAACAAATATATTTAGGTACATTATTGTATTGCGTAGTTTTGGGAACAGAAGACGTGACACCGCATAAACATTCAGAAAATTATGCAATCAACAAACTCGAAAGTCTCATAGATCAAAATCTAATTTAGCAAAAGATTTGTAAGTCGGAAAACGCGTACAGTAATGTGTTCTTTACATCAAAAACACATTTAAAAGAAGTTAGATTGGCTTACTGAAGTTGGCGTGCGGCCATATATAGTTGGAGCCTTTTCGGCGCCTCAAAGTCAGCCCTAATCTTCAAAGATTTGCCGCAGATTGTTTGCGAGCATTTTAGTCCATCAAAATATGACAGGGGGAAACTTTCTCTACATAAATTTCAGAACACGCGGAGCACAAAGAAAACCTAATTGGATGTTTTCTGATATTTGAGATATTTAGCTACGTTTATAAAAATACACTTGAATTTTTAATTTTGATTTCTTTGACTCTCGGAAAGTAATTTTCAAATGGTATTCCTATTATACACATATTTGTGGCCAGTCGGGAAAAATTAAAACACTTAAATTTAACACAAGCTTTATTTGTTCAAAACCTATCCATCCTTAATTCGTTATGTATATTTACGTGAGTACGATAGAATCGTTTATATTTCATACAATAATTCACACTTGAAATAATAATCAATACATTCTCTGTTATTAAAAACATCTATTGCCTTTACTTATTGATAATATTTACAATATATGACGCGTAATTTAAACTTAGCAATTTGGCAACATTTTTTTTACGATAATCTATACACGATAATTACTAATCATGTTTAAACTATAATTGACAGAAGATACTTGGGCATTTGAGGAAAACGAACATAATATTAATTAAATTTACCACTATATGAAATTTAGTTTTAAGCACAGCTGGCGTAAAACAAATTAAATATCTTCAATTCAATTATTAATTTATCACAGCGTACATGAGGTTACATAAGCGCACATGAAATAATTCCAAAAATCCTATATCTACACATTTTAAAATTCATTCAGTCTTACGCTATCTATTATTTCAAATAAATTACTATTATATAATATTTAGTGCACGTTATACTGTGTTGATAATATAATTGTGCAGTGAATTTTACTAGATTTTTCACGGTCAAGCAGAATACCATAATTGGATATTTAAGTAAGTTTGTCTCCGACAAGAATGTCTTTTATTCTGCTACACCGTAACTCTTAGTTTAAGGAACTGTTGTATAATATATCATAATATTCTTTATTATAATACGTATAAATTAACAACAACGATCATAACGAGTTAAGTTGATTACTAACTATATATATATTTTGGATCGTCTACAGTTAAATATTTGTTATCTAGTAACCTGTTTCATCGTTTATAATAATTTCTCCTCCAACTGATTTGTTTGCGAACAGCATTTTGGTCAAAAGCATTAAGCTCAGTTTACATTAAATAAATAAATTTAATGTGCTCAAAATATGATCAATGGAATGGTTTTTAAATTTATATTAAAACATTTAACATAAAATGGACGTTCTCCATCACTTTGATTTAATTGGATGGCATCTTTTATAATTTTCCAAGTAAAGTACACCATCCTCCATCTTAAATGAACTCTGGGGTTTACGTGAGTTTTTAAATTGTATTTTATTTTCTATTGTTCTATCTATGATTTTGTAACGATCAGTTTCAGAATCTAAATTCAGTTTATTTAGTTCATATTTCACAAGTCTATTTATTCCCGAGTAATATGATTAAAAACAGTTTTACGTTTTAAATTTATCCGTAGTTTGTTTATCGAATCGACTTTCCAATTTGGAAGTGTTAATCGACCTTTAAGAATTTCAAATAAAAAGAACGAAAGGTGACAATGGTAAGATTAATAATGTACTTTAGAATATGACAATAATGGTCACGATACATTTATATAAAAAAATTGGGCATATAAAATCTGTCTACATGTTAAAAGTATTAAAGCATTAAATACTTTCTGAAATGTCGAGGCTTTTAAATGTGGCTTTAAAAGTAAAACTGTTTTCCAATCGCCTTAAAATATATCAAATTAGTCAAAAAAATCTAATATGGACAATTTGGTTTTATTTCACCTCGTTACACATAGCTTAGTATTTTGAATTAGTTGACAAAATCACATAGTGGACAGTGACTTCACTAGCATAAATGGTTAAAATTTAAAAAATAAAAAGTAAGAGACGTAAAACAACACAATGCTGTAGCTGGTTCTTCTTCGGTCAGCTTTACCTGTGAATGGAAAGTTAAATTTTAAATAATGAATACAAGTTGTTCCAATATAGCATTTCATTTTGAAAGGCCCGCCATTTTAACAGTTGTCATAAAAGCTGTCACTACTTGACAGTTCGCGAGTAAAAAAGGTACCGTACGCCATTAATAAAATGGAAAGATATATATGTAATAGATTAACAGAGCATTAAAACTATGAAAATTATGGAAATTACACGATTACAGTTCAAAAAACCAAAACAATTTGGTTCGTCGTAAAGCAAACTTTTTCGGTTAGCAATTGTGAAACTTGTGAAATTTTTTGAGTTAGTTAATTAGATATCGTTTACTAACGATCTTACGTCTCTCAAATTCCATAGACACCACAGCAGCTGTGTGTAGCTTCTCACCTCAACATATACAATGTCTAAATTACATCGATACAATGGCTGTCCTACTAATCTCCAAGCCAAAAGCTTTACTAGCTAGCTTACTTCGCAGCAGAAATACGTCGACGGTACTCATCTGTGGGACTTTGCAACAATGCAATTTGCGATGGTGATGATTATATAGTGGTATGTAGTAGTATAGTGGTGTAGTATGTATGATGGTTATGTAGTAGTTATTATACAGTACAAAAATACAAAACATCGATCACGCTAATGACATTTTTAACATAGGTTTGAGATACAATATCCGAACAACAAACTTAATATCGTCGGTAAAAGCAAAAAAATGTTATATATAAAATGATATATAGACGATATGTACCATGACTGATAAATGTAAGAAGAATGGTACAGAAGTAACCAGTTAATCTATAATAGCTCATCAATTCTTATAGCTGGACAAACTTACTCCTAAATATTCTACACATTTATATTTACTTCATTTAGTTATTTTACTAAACTACGAGGTGTAGGAAAAAAAATGGTAAGAATCTATGTATTAAACAAAAGGTAAGCAGAAATGGAAAATTATATGAATATAATTGTGTTATAGCTATAATACAAAGTTGTTTCAACTTCTTAGGTTAGTCCGTTGGTATCGCAATGAACTAAATCAGTAGTTCAAAATAAGAGCAATCAGTTTCCTTTGTGTGTCCAATAAGTCATATAAAATAAATGAATCACCTGTAACTTGTGATGCCCCTTCAACCCAGTTGAAGGTTGCCTTCCCGCCCCCTTCATCAGTTTTCTGTTTGCCTTTATCAATCTCATTCAAGTTGGATTGATATTTAGTACCTGTTGTTTAACATCAAATTATTTTAAAACTAAACATCGTAATATATACGAAATAAGTAAACAGGAAAGTAAGAAAATAAAGTAACACGTCTCGTGAAGTATTCAATATGGCAAGGGACCGGGCAGGCGGCTAGCCGACAGCTAACAGTTATTGAAAAGTTGAGCAATATTGTCGAGTGGCCGGAGCGCTCGTAAATTCGTAATGGGTGCAAAAAATAAAACAGAGCCGACGGCTGATGTCGACGCCGCCGCTGCTACCTCGCAAAAACAACCAACCGCAAAACTTATCTTCCGATATCATTGCGACCGAAATGGATATTTCGAGTTCTGAGATTATGTTTAAAATGTAGTTTAGGTATATATTAAACTATTCAGACCTCAATTTTGAGTTGCTAATATTATGGGATACAGACGTCGCATCGCTTGAACTTCGCGTTAACAACGCTTATTAAGAGTTTGCAACAAGAAAAGCGGCCGAAGAACACTTGGCTGTAATAGGTTGTCGCACAAGATGTTGTCCGGCGTCCGACAGCATGTCGGGGAAAATGGCTAACTTGCAATAAAGGGGAAGTAATGACACGGACCAAACAAGTTATGACTATGCTATTACGTAAATATCAGATCCTTTCAATATTATGACAGCAAAGTATTAAATAGGTAATCATTTTATATTTATTCTGTTGTGGACTATATTCGACACTCTGTTTTGATACTTAAATATTTATTGAACAGATGCATTTCAAACTGATTTTAAATATCAAGTTATCGCTTTTCAGTGTATGTAGTATAGTACACGTAAACAAATTTTATGTAGCTTTAATATTAACAGGACATTACGAGGCACTTCGTGAACCGTTTTGTTAGTGTCTTGACGATTTGTTTATATTTTACGGCCGATCATAATGTTTGAAGCCAGTTAACAAACTACTGATAGTAACTGACGACAGACAGGTCGTCGTAACACTTTATGATCTATAAACAATATAACGAGCACTAATAACTGAAACAGCAACAAACAATGGAAACGAACGAACGATGAAGCCGTACAATTCGTAAAGGTATTATTATCTCTTAATAAACGGAATCGTTCGCGTAAAAATGTTGTTCCAATACATTTTATCGGTTACGGATTTAATGAAATCATTCGACTGCGGCATTTTTATAGCCGTTTTAATTATTATACGCGTAATGTGCACCGATACGGACGTTCGGAGCCGTTTTCAATATTCATGTATCCGAATGAATTTGTTTTAAATTGTGAGTTTATTATTTAATACAGCGTTTACCTTTGTCTGAGGCGGGAGTATCGCGTCTAGGCGGTCGTGACGGCGGTGGAACGGTCATTGCATTAGGATCTGGAGTAGTCGTCGGTGGCGATGAAGCTACCGAAAACACATTGATTTCACTACTAAGTTATTTTGTGAAAAAAGTAGGGTGCTAATATAAATTAAAAAAAAAAGTCAATTTAAAAATACAGTTTGTTAGCTTTTTTTTATTTGTCCTTTTTAGTTTTTTTTTTTTAAATTAAGTAATACACGTTAACACAAATGCAATGAATACAAACTCGATGGATTTACTAGCTGTCATGAAGGAGTTCTGTTGTCCATCTTACAAGTCGATCACAATCACTTTCTGTAACGTTATCACGTGTCAACTTTCATAATAATAAAACATTAGAAGGGGATAAAAATCGGACTTAGAGATTCGGTTACATTTATGGATACATGAAAATAAGTTGATTGTAGTAAGCCTGCAAAAACACACCATGAACACTACACTTAATGAGCTTGTTTACTTACTATAAAGCCTTATTGTTCCATCGGATTCGCCTCTCGGGTTCTTGGCGACACATTTGTAAGTTCCGTAATCCTCGCTCGTGATGTGTCTGATCAATAATTTCATGTGCGTCTTGTAAGCGAGGGCTCCGACGGTGTTCTCCATGTGATATTTAAGACTTTCATGTATCATGTGGCCGTCGTCTCTTGTCCAATAGTTCAGTGATGTCGGATGGGCCTCGGTGAAACATTCTAATGTTACGTTGTAATACAGGGGAGCGCCGACTAGTTGATGAGGTATCCATAACATAGGAGGGACTGTCAATGGAAATTAATTATTATTTTCTCATTGCTTTTCTAATAACATTATTAAGAATAATTTTATACGCAAAAAAATCCCAACACAAACATTTTCAAAAGCCAGGGAACGGTTGATTAGTTGCATGTTATAATGTCAGGGAAATAGTCAATCTACTGTCTGACACTATTAAAAAGGGTTATGATAATAGCCCCGTGTGTTATTTTTGACAATTTCGTCAATCAGTTTTCGCAATTGTTCTAATTAGGACTCCTCTTACTGTGTAATTATTTAGCTATAGTGGGTACCGGAGCCCATAGACTAGCCCAAGGTGAATGTTCTCAATCGTATTTAGATAATACCTGTTCATATATGTTCAGAATGTTATGAGAAAAATAATTCTATGAAGTAAATACTCACAATCCACGCTGACTTTAACACGCTTAGAAACGGTCGGAGGCACTCCGTTACTGGCGATGCAGAGATAAGCTCCCATATCCAAACGCGAAATTCTTAACATTTCCAGGACTTCACCTTCCCACTCCAAAACTAAAGACGATTCCAGAATCAAATCATTGATGAAAGTATAATTATGTGAAATTAGTTATATAGATAATATTTTTTTTAAATTCATAAAATTAATAATTTAATTTTATATAAAATAAAGTGTTTTATAAAACCTTCTTGTATTGGCAACCTTGATATGTGTGCAGAATTATTTAATTTAGTAAAACTTACAAACCTAAATCAAGTTAATAAAAACGAATGAACAAACGAAAAATCAAACGAAAATTTTCATAAACTTAATATTCCACATATTTAAAATAAAAATATAGATTCTATAATATTTAAATTAGTACTTAAGAAGTTATCTGCTTTTGCTTTGACCAGTGCTTAATGCTATAAAATTGGAAAGAACAAAAAGCACCTATTAAATACCAGTAACTTATACAACAAAAAAGTTAAGAGACGAACAGAACACCTTACCGGAATGGCCTTTAGTGATGGAGATTCTCGAGTTGTCATCCCGTTTCCACTTGATGGTAGGCTTAGGAGAGCCATTAGCGCGGCATGTCAGGGTGACGTTGGCGCCCTCCCTGACGATAACATCGCTCGAGCTCAATGAGTCGTCGATAGTGGGCGGAACTGAAAACAAACAAACCGCATATTGCCTGCTAATACGTTGTTGTTTCAGCCACAAGTTTCCTAGTAATTTTCTATTATTATTATTTTTTTTGTATATGATTGGAATTAAAATTTCTTAAATGAAACATTAGGTTTTAAAAAAAACATAAAAGTAATTATAAACAAAATAATTATATAAAGGTTTATATCTAATTCTAGAAAGACGATTGCGCTCAGAAAAATCACCAACAATAAAAACTAAAATTGTGTCGAGAACCCGTTAGACAGCATGATGAAATATGCTTACCGACAACATGCAAGTATCCGAACTGTGTTTTAGCAGTAACAGTGTTGATCTGACACATGTACCGGCCTTTATCTTCTTCTCGGACGTCAGATATATGAAGAAACCACGTCCGGTGCTTGTCATGTGTAACGCTCACACGGGGGTTCCTTGTGATCACGTGATTGTGAACGGTCAATATGGCCGACTGCTCGAAGTGCATCCATGCTACCTGTTTAAAGTTCAAAGCTTTTAAATGACTTAATTACACAAAAAGCTCCCATACAAGTCGGATAACAGATCATGTATTATCATAATTTGTCATAATTAATCTATACTAATCTATACTTAATATTATAAAGAGGAAAGTTTTGTTTCTTTGTTTGTATTGAATAGGCTTCGAAACTACAGAACCGATTTAAAAAAATATTTCACTGTTTGGAAGTTACGCTATTCCCGAGTGATTAAGGCTATAATCTTTTTTAAAAAAAATTAATAGGGATCCTTACTAAAACTCCAATAATGTAACCCAAGGTGTAAAAAAATACCTAAAATATTCTTTACGTCGCGTACCCTGCGAAAGCTGTTGATGATAGAATAAAATAATGTAGGTACTACGACTTTGTAGAACATATTATTACTTACAAAAAGTGTCGCGACAGCATATATTTAACTATTGCAGTTGTTATGAAATTTTTGTTAAAGACCCGAGCGGAGCCGGAGCGGGCCGATAGTGTATTATAATTTGATGGGTGAAACTGTATCTTATTATATAATAATTGGGAACAAATCACGCACAGTCATCCGCCTCCAATTTAGGATTCCCCGTGTTATGGGTAATAGAGTCTGACAAACATAATTATATACGTTTAAATACATACATATATAGACAATAAACACCCAGACAAAAAGCAAACAAACCTTTTCATCCCACAATGATTGCCCGATGCGGGAATCGAACCCACAACCCTCGGCACAACACCCAGGGGTGCCAAGTACTGCACCACCAAGTCTGTCATATATATGTCAGAACATACATTAAGAATTAAAAAAAAACGTTTACAATTTACTGATTGACAGCCTAAAAGTGAAAAATTTTCACCACGAATTTTATAAAGAAACGTAAGGTACTTCATTGGAAGACGTAATCAAAATTCTTCAAAAGATATCTCGTCCCGTATCTATTCAGAGGCAATGGTTCCGAAAAGTTAATTTTGTTTCAATACCTTTACGAAACATCTAAAAATATAAGGGTATGTGGGGGTGTGGAGGACGACGCAGCTCCATGATTTCCAATCGTTTTCTCAATTGGACAAGTGACGTAACGGAAATTAAAGAAACAGGCGTTTCATTGCAAATGTTTCTTTTATAAAAAAAAGCTTATCTCTTAAATTATTACCTAATAGAGTTCTAACGTACTCTTATCAATTGATATTTTATATCAATATTCGATTTATTAATATTTACAGTAAATTTAATTCGGATTTTTACAACAAGCAAAGTTTCTTATTAGATCAAAGGCTGTATAAAATCATAACAATCTTAATAAGGGAGCGCTGACGTCGATACTGAAACTTTCAGACGCTTAAACTTTAGCCATCGTTGAAAGACAGGTTGACATGCTTTAACATTGATTTAAATTTTTTTTTTTTTTTATTGCTTATATGGATGGACGAGCTCACAGCCCACCTGATGTTAAGTGGTTACTGGAGCCCATAGACATCTACAACGTAGATGCGCCACCCACCTCGAGATATAAGTTCTAAGATCTCAGTATAGTTACAACGGCTACCCCACCCTTCGAACCGAAACGCATTACTGCTTCACGGCGGAAATAGGCGGGGTGGTGGTACCTACCCGTGCGGACTCCCAAGAGGTCCTACCACCAGTAATAAATAAAAATGTACTTAATCTCCTCAAATACAGGAATAAGAATACAAACTACTCGCAGCAACTGACCCTGTGATAACAGTTTGATATTGACATTGGAATTTGAATCATAATTTCAGTTTATGATGGATAAAATATTATTATTCTAGATTTTCATTTAGATTTGAATGCTTATAATTTATCTTGATATTTTTTATTGTTTGAGTGAGCGAGCTTACAGCCCACCTGGTAAGTTAAGTGGTTTCCGATTCACATAGACATTACAACCAAATCGAATAAAAGTGAAATAAAAAATTAAAACTAAATTGCAATTCAAAGCAAATACAAATTTATTAGGCGCTTAAGTATCATCATATTTAATGACAGTTGAAGTTTGAATCATGAGTTATTTTTATCAAGATTACGGTTACAATAACGGGAAGTTTGAGGGTAAAATTCGTGCCGGGTCACATCTTACCTATCTTAAGTGATGCGGTTCTCCGCTGTCTAATTTATAATGGACTTGAGGAAACTTGGGCCATTTTATTATGCAATGAGACGGTAACCCCTCTAATGACGACGACCTGACTCGTCTTCGTAGCCTGAGGCTCTGATATTAAACAAAATTTCCTAGTTATCGTTTAACATAAAAGTATGTTATATTTAAAAACGTGCGCCTGGAAATTTATTACTTATTTAAAATCATAATAAGGGATATCAGGGCTCATAGGTAACAAACACTATTGAGCCTAATTCTGTCATGACCTAATCATGCCTATCAGTTTGAAGGACAGTCGGTTTATAATAAAATTGTCTTTCATGTCTCGAGTATTCACGTTGTGATTCTCTACGGACTCCAATAACAAGTTATTAAGATGTGAACTGTGAGTTTTTTTGCCCATCTAGGTAAAGACAACTTCAAGGGAATTACTGGTGGTAGGACCTCTTGTGAGTCCGCGCGGGTAGGTACCACCACCCTGCCTATTTCTGCCGTGAAGCAGTAATGCGTTTCGGTTTGAAGGGTGGGGCAGCCGTTGTAACTATACTTGAGAACTTATATCTCAAGGTGGGTGGCGTATTTACGTTGTGGATGTCTATGGACTCCAGTAACCACTTGACACCAGGTGAGCTGTGAGCTCGTCCACCCATCTAAGCAATAAAAAATACTCCCATTAAAATCTAGTACTAATCCATGTATTTTACTTGCTTAAATAAAGCTTTCAGTGAAGAAGCTTTGTACAACAATACTCCTTATTATTAATAGACGAAAACGGAAGTTATTTTTGTATTAAAATTTGGAAAAACTAACGTTTACTTTTAGATCTTGGATAATATAGGCAGCGGCTTGGCTCTGCCCCTGGCATTGCTGAAGTCCATGGGCGACGGTAACCACTCACCATCAGGTGGGCCGTATGCTCGTCTGCCTACAAGGGCAATAAAAAAATTTTAATAATATTTAGAATCCTTAAATTTTATTACCACTATCCTCTACAACTTTTTCCAAATAATAAAGTCTGAACTTAGCCACTCAGGTAAAGTTGAACGTATTTTAAGGTTTTTCAAGAAGAAATCGAGTACATAATGAGTTAAGTCGATTTCAGGCGCGGTGTATGTAAATCTTATCTCGGTAATTGTGGCCGGCGTCTAATCTAATCGCACGCGGTGCGCCTCTCGGCCCCGCACAGATTTAATTAAGAAACACAGTGTACTCGTCTCCGCAACGCCATTTTGATCAACATTGCGTATTAGCTACTTCAACAAGTAATTATAAAAGGTATTTATTTATTTATTTATTTTATTAGGCTCACAATACACATCACAAGCTAAAGATACATAAAAACACAAATAAAAAGAAACAAAATCTGGCTTGCAACATAAGTTATGTGCGCACGACAAAACAAGACATATAGTGCTGAATTTGTATAACAATGTTCCTTACAATTATGACAAAACAACACAATAACAAAAACTAATCTAACGAATAATGTAAGGAAAAAAAATTTATTCACAATATAATACATTAAACAATTACATTAACCTACCTATTAATCAAGTGGAGGATGCCCTTGAACATTTTTCTAAACGTAACTAACCTACAAGTAAAAATATCTAACTCAGGTGACGACCTTGCCAGTTCGTTATAGGTACGACACATTCTAGGGAGTCTTTCCCGCAAGAATTAACATGACAATAATTACGTGTTCACCGATGAAGCCTTTATTGTGTATTTATTTGTGATCGCGCGCATGTAGCTTTTATGTCCTCGTGGTTCAAGGATAAGGACGCTCAGTGTACTCTTAGCTATGTAATTATGTCGATGTTCAAATGGTACAGGCAAATACCCATTTTTCTAATGAAATATATGGATAGTTGTTGCATGTTCACGAATAACTCTCACGATGAAGTTGTAACGTCCTGTACAAAAAAACCAGCATAAATTGTAATTTGCGTAATGACTTGAAAAAAAAGGTAAAGTCTTGCGCTCTCCTTGCTTATTTCAGTAGCAGTAATTAAATCCACTTTATGGGCAGGGTTAGTTCTTATACTATTCAATTGTGACTCAGACCTCATGTCTTGGTGGGCGGCATTTTCGCTCGGACATCATCTATAGACTTCTGTAACCACTCAACACTAGGTGAGCTATGAGCTCCTTCACCTGTCTATACAAATAAACACAAAAACGGTCCCTCTGTTCGAACTGTTTCCGACTCAAAGCAGTCATGCCATCCAGGTTCAAAGGTGGGACAGACTTCTCGTCGCTTGAAACGCGAGTTCCGTGCGTCAGCAGATGTCCACTGTCTTGCAAAATCCTCTATCATGTTAAATTATATATGTTTATATATTTATTTCCTTCTGATTCTATAGAAACGGCGTTCGGATTCCAACCTTTCATACAAAATATATTTAAAATCGAAATCATATTTAAATGTAAAGATTTTGCGTTCAGACAAAACGTTTTATCGCAAATCCAATATAACACGAAAACTTGTTCTTCAAACTTCTCTTCAGCAGTTCGAACAATTAAGATAAAATTGAATAGGAATTAAAATTTTATAAGCGGTTCGCAGATAAGCGTTGAGCGTTGAACTTGACGAAGTTCGCAAATCTCATAGCATGGTTCGAGGGCATCGCGAAATAAGTATCCAGCGAGACTGCAAACACTTCCAAACTTGCGTTAGTAACTTTGAAATTCTCAAGAGAAATATTTTTTTTAATGTAACTATGTAATTCTCATAAAACTAAACGCAAGATCTCATTCTGGAAAACTTTCTAAGATACTTTTACTTGTATGGATTTTATACCAGATAAGTACAATTGCAACTTTGAGACGTAAGGTCTAAAGTGTCAATCTATACTAATATA